CGCCTCACGAGTCCCACCTCCCAAGGGGCGTGATTAGGGTGGCCGCGCCCCTCCCAGCATGCCCCACGCCCGCCGCGCTGCATTGTGGGCGCTGTAGTCTGCGCGTGACCCGCTTCATTGTGGGCGAATGAGCCCAGGCGCCAGTAGGTGGGAGCGAGAACTGCACGCGACCAGGGCTGCTGGCCACGTGTGGTGAGTGCAGGGTGCTGTCCGGAGTACCTGGGGGAGTGCGGGGTGCGGGCCGGGTCCCTGTCAGGTGCTGTGCAGCAAATCTAGGTTGGTGGGTGGGTGGTCCGTGGCTGTACCCCCACCCCAGGAATTAGGAAGGGCCTTGCTCTGGTGAAAGGGAAGGTCTTTATAGCGCTAAGGAAAATGCCTAAATCAGAATAAAAGTGACTATCTCAGGGAGCCTGGGGCCTGTAGCTGCTGCTCCTTACCACTTCCTTTTGGTTGCCCTTGTTGTGGCTCTGCCCAGCCTGTGCAGGTAAAGGTCCTCTTAGGACGGATCTTTGTCCACAGCTACATTTGTCCAGGGCTGCCTGGGCCTCTTGGCTCCCTTCAGCGGGGAGCCAGAGGTCCCTGGAGCCTGGTGGGGGTAGAAAGGGAGGCCAAGTTCCTGAGACATACTGGACATTCCTCTGGGACCCCTGCTAGGAAGCTGGTCCCCTGGGGCGTCTGGGTTTCGCTAAGCACGTGTTTATGGAGACAGTCCAGGAAGGCACCGGGCCTACAGGGAGACCTGCCAGCTAGGAGGTTGCAGACTTGGAGCATGGTCCCAGGAGGAGTGCAGAGGTGTATTTCACAGAGCCCACTCTGTGGAGGACATGCCCGACCCCTTGGCAATCACGTGATCAGAGAACAGGTCCCAGGAGCTCTGGTCAATCTGCTGGGTCTCCTCACCAGGATGAGGGCATCCCCGCTCTGATGCGGCACTGTCCGCAAATGGCCGGATGGGGCGGAGGCAGTCACCTGTAGCAGCTCTGAGCTGGGCTGGGAAGGTGGGTGACGCTTGCAGGAGGCAGCTTTGGTCAATCCCATGTATGTTATGGGTCTCTGGACATCAGCTCAGGTGAATCCTTCTCTGTGGGTCACTTCTGGGGAGTCAGGCTCCCGCGTGTGTGCATAATGTCCTGGAGGATGAGCTGGGCAGCCCACTTCTGGGGCCCATCTCAACACAGGTGGGGGCTGCCGTGCCAGGTCTGGATGTCCATACCACTTCAGTCCTGAGAGTGGCCTCTGCTGGTGTGGTGAGCCACCTCCTGCGGCTCTCCTGTGGGACATGTCGAAGGCTGGGGTCCTGGGCTGCCGTGGCAGTGAGCTGGATGTGGTGCCACCTGGCCTGGCCTGCCCCGGCTCTCCCTGCAGGGCTGCTGTGGGGAGGCTGAACCCGGGCCTCCCTGGCACTCAGCCCTCTGCAGCTGTTTCCACTCGCTCCAGGGGAGGTTGGGAAGAACAAGACCAAGAAAAGCAACCTCAGAGTTAGTTCACTTGAAGCAGCTTGACCTGTGCCTGTGTCTCTTCCCTGGTGTTCAACAAGTGGCCAGGCCCTGGCGTAGCTTCTTGCTTTCATTTTGGTCCTCTGAGGATGTGGGCCCTGTCCCAGGCCCTGTGACTTCCGGGGTAATTGCAGCTGCTGTGAATCACCCTGTCCCCCCTGCTGGGGCTCTGGAATTCTTACAGCTGTGGAATCCCAGCAGCCCAGACCAACAAACTCCCAGGCTCCTCTGTGACCCCACACTCTCCCTTCTCACAGAAAGGAAGCTGTTGGCATCTAGAGCATGGGGTCCTGGGCAACCTAGCTGGCCACCTGCATTGCCTGTGCACACCAGTGGCTCCACAGGCCCCCCTGGTTTCCTGGGTCTCTGTGTCCCTCAGAGAGGTCTCAGCCAGGGTCCAAGTGCTGGGCATCTGGGCCCCCAGAACCGGTCTGTGTCACACCTGAGCTTTCTGTCCCTGCCTGAGGTCTGGGGGGGATACTTCCTGCTTCCGGACCCTCTGCACATGCCCTCCCTTTGCAGTGGTGGGAGCAGAGTAGCCTAGGCACCTGTGAGCCAGCGCAGAAGGGATGGGTGGTCCACACACTCGAAACTACCTGCCTCCTGTGGCTGAGCATGCTGCTGTCTGCACCAGCATGTCCCCACCGCGCCTTAGCCACAGGTGACACAGGCTGCTCCAGACCCAGCCTGTGGGGGGAGGTCGGCCACTAGACCTTTAGGTGAGGCTGGCTTCCCGGTTGTTGTGGGTGGTGCCCACAGAGCACCTGCCTCCTGGCAGCCCACCTTTTAGCTGCAAGGAAACTGGCAGCAAGAGGCACATCAAGGCAGGAAAGTAAAGTCAGGCTGTACTGACATGGTAGGCAGGTAGGGATGACCTTGCCCCATTAGACAGGACAGCCAGCAGCGGGACACATTCTCAGTGCCAGTGGGTGGAGCCTCTGTCCTGGACAGTATTGGAAGACAAAACTGAGCAGAAACCTCACATTGCCCGCTCGGAGCACCCAGCATGCCCCAGACCTGTGTGGTGGGAGGCCAGCCCCAGGGACATTAGGTGGGACGGCTGTTCTCTAGGTGCTCCCCTGGGATGTCACCTCTGTCTCCCGCCGCAGGCTTTGGGCTGCTCCTGAACATGCGGTCCTTGAGCTCTGTCCCCTGTCCCTTTTCACACCTTGTTTTGCCCACCGCTGCCCTCAGCCCCTTTGCCCTTCCCCAGCCTTGGAGAATCCACACCAGTGGTCCTCCGGCCTTCGGCTTGTGGCAGGTGCACACCATTCCTCTTGTCCCCTCTCTGGCCCTTGGGTGCTACTAGGACAGCAGCTTGCATGGGACACGTTGGGTTCATTCACCTCTGCCCACACCAGTGGCCAGTGATGCTGCCTGCAAGGCCCGTAAGGGAGATGGAGGGGATGTGCCCACACCGTGTCGGTACACAGAACCAGTGCTGTGCCTCCAAACATGAATTTAACATTGTTACTATTAATATTAATAAAATCAGTGTATTGGTTTGTTAACTTGGCTTTAATTAACCTTTAAATAATTATATGGGCTGGTGTCAAGGCTGGAGGATCCTGTCTGCCCTGGAGACCCAGCAGACAGTGCCAGCCTGGTATGGGACTGGACTTCTAGGCTCAGGTGGTTCTCAGGCTGACACTAAGGACTGGTCAGGGACATGGCTCTGGGCTGTGGCTCTGTCCAAGCTCATGCTGGCTCCTAGCTGAGGGGGCAGCAAGAAGAGCCCTGTGGGTGGGAGGGGTGGCGGGGCCCGTGCCATACCACCCTGACTCTCAGTTCCTCCCTCCAGGTGGAGTGTCACCTTCAGTCCCCTCCAGGGTCCTGTGCAGGCCTGGGTGGAGCGATGCCCTCGGGCCAGGCAGAGGAGAAGCAGGCACCAGAAGAGGAGCCCGGTCCCAGCCCAGAGCACAAGGCATGGCCCTGGCTGGTGTTCTTCCTCTGCTTCTATGGCTTCATGGCGCAGATGCGGCCAGGCGAGAGCTTCATCACCCCGTACCTGCTGGGACCGTGCAAGAACTTCACTCAGGAGCAGGCATGTGGACACGGGGTGCTGGGGGACGGGCAGTACTGGGGGTGGGGCTCTTCTCACGCTTGGCCCTCAGCGGCCGAGGCCGGGGACGGTAAGTGGCTGTGGGCGGTCACAGGGTCTGGAGGGCCTGGGTGGCTCTGCACCTGCTGTGCCCCTCAGATTGCAGTGGGAGACAGATGTGACATCCCTGGATCTTGCGGAGGGAGCCTCTGTCTGCTCTCGGTGGGGGGCCAGGAGCTGGTGACTGCAGGCTGGCCACTCTGGCCTCCGTGTGAGAAAGCCCTCAGCCAGCTGTGTCCAGCCTGCTGGGCTCCTGCCTCCACTGGGGACTGAGCAGCTCTTTGTGGAAAGAGATTAGTGAAGGAATTTTCCTTTCACTCAGCCGTGGGACAGAGGGTTTATTAAAACACTACAGTAAGCTTAAGCCCAGACACGAGGCCAGAGCCAGGCGTGTTCTGTCTTGAACTCTGTTGCGTGCGTTGTAAACGTGACCACACGAGGAGAGGGTGACAGCATCCTCACCTCCCTGCCTCTTGCATTCCCACTGGGTTCTCTGCCCTCACCCAGGCACCAGCATGTGTGTGAAACCTCTGTTAACATGGGACAGCTACCACAAAAATGTTAGAAATCCTGCCTTCGTGCCCGTGTATAGAACATAAATAGATAAAAAGTTCCAAGCCGGGCGTGGTGGCACATGTCTGCAATTCCAGCACTCTGGGAGGAAAAAGCAAGGAGGAGAGCAAGTTTGAGCCCAGCATGGGCAACTTAGCTAGACCTGTCTCAAAATTTAAGAAGGAGCTGGGGGTGTAGGTCAGTGCAGAAGCCCTGGATTTAATTCTCAGTACTGCACAAAAGGAAACAGTCAATCCAGAGGTTAACCCATTCCTGTGGCGATGGTCACAAGGCCCCACTGCCCCATGCCAGGTCCTCTGGCCTCGGTCCCGAAGGGTGCTGGGTAGCCTTGTCCTTGCTGGGCCTGTAAGGAGGGTCACGTTGGTGATGTCTCACAACGCATCCTCTAAGGGCCTTCCTCCGGGTCCTTCGATGTGGAGGGTTCATCTACATAGGACCAGGGCTGGTCTCGGGGCTCGCCTGCGAGCGGCCACAGAGCCACAAAGCGCTGCCGCTAGGGCTTCGCCGTGGAGTAAGCAGCGGCTCCCAGTGGCTCCAGCTTCTCATTAGTCCAGTCCTGCCTCCGGGTCCTGGCTGCACTGTTCTTTCCACCTCAGGCCTGGGCGACAGCCAGGCAGTGGTGGGTCTAGACACTAGACCTCTGTCAGCCCTGGCCTCTGACCGATAGCTGCACCCCCTGGGACCTTTGTGAGGGGCCTTCCCCAGCAGCTTTCCTGGGGGCTCCGGTCACAGCCTAGGGCAGGGCCTCTCCATGGGCACTGGCTGAGTCTGGGGGCAGTGGAGCAGGCTGCAGATTGGAGTTCTGGGGGTACAGAGGTATCTGTGGTCCACCCAGCCCTTGCAAGTGGTACCAGAGCTCTGCAGCAGGAGCCAGGGTAGGACCCAGAGGGGCCTGGCCTCTGCCCAGCCCTGGCTTGGAAAGCAGATTGCTGGGCCACTGTCCTTAAACTCAGGGTGAGGCTTGGCCCTTCCACCTCTGGCCTGCATGCAAGCCGGTGGTGGTGTGTCCCTGTGGTCCCTGAGGTGCTGCTGTGCTTGCACACCTGAGTGGCTCCCTTCCACATCCTGGTAGGGGCTGGCTGGGCAGCAGGTAGTCCTTGGATGTCCTCAGGATCACACCCTCGACAAAGACACAGGGGCGGCTGGGCCCCAGCGCGTTACTCAGCATTCTGGGGCCCAGCCTGCTCTGAGAGCACCCTGGAGGACCCCTGTGAACAGGGCAGAAGCCGAGGATCCCAGAGCCTTTGGGCTGCACCTTCTGGGGCTGCTCTGTGAGGTGCAGGGTTGGGAGGAGCCCCAGGCAGGTGAGACGTGCTGCTCTGTGTGGGGTCTTCTGACAGTCTCCCTGCGTCCCTATGAGGACTCATCTGCTGGTCCTCAGCCTGCCAAGCCTGCAGCTGGCTCTAGGGAGGCCAGCAGCACGTCTTGGGCCTGCAGGAGGTACAGCATGGCCAGGCACAGACCCCTGAATGCTGCCTTGGGTCTCGGGCCTGGTCCCTCAATGTTCAGGCAGTAAATTGGGGCTGTGGGGTGTTGCCGGTGGTCAAGTCAGGATTAATGCCTAAGGCTGGGTGGCTCCTGAGCCGTATCTTGGGAAGCCCAGCAAGGCCCATCAGCTCCCGTGTCCTACACCTGGCAGCTGTAAGGTGGGGTAGGGAGCCCCGGCAAAGCCACCCACCTCAGCCTGGGCCCTGTGTCTGACCACCAGGTGATGGTGTCTGGGCCCTTGTGGGGAGACCTCTCTGTAAGCGCCCAAGGCTGGGCCCACTACCCTCTGCCCTGCACCTGCCTCTGTGTCGGGAAAGGCAGCTGCTGTTCCACCAGGGCTGTGGTGTTCATTTCCCACCGTCCCTGGTTGTGCGGGCCAACCAGGGTGGGGTCAGGTGGGGCGGGCAGTGTCCTCATTCTTTCACACCCTCTTCCCCCAGCAGGCAGGGCCTTAGCCCTTGTGTTTCCTGGGACAGAGTCTGCCCCGAAGACCTGGTCTGGGACTTGGTGGGCTGCAGAGCCCTGGCCCTCTAGCCTTTCTTACCACTCCTCCCTCCTTTCCTCTCTGTCTCCCTCCTCTGTGACCTGTCCTGAGTGCTCCCTCTCCTCCTCCCCTTTACCTTGTCCCGATCTTTTCTTCCTCCTGTAAGGATGGAGGTGGCTTGTGCTGTCTTCTGGCCACGGTACTGCTCCCCATATTGTTAAATCAGGGCGCAATCTAACCAGATCTAGAGTCCAGTGAAGATAGGAGAGCCTAGATTAGTGTGATCCAGGCTGTGAGAACAATGGTTTTCCCTGCGTACTTGCCAGCTTTCTGGGAGCCACTTCTCCCTCCTCACTGCACGGGCCCAGCAGCTCCGTGGGCTGGGTCACTTAGGTCACTCCCTGACATCCTGGGTGGGCTGGTGCCGGGGTCAGGAGTGAGGAGGAGGTCACAGGGCCTGCAGTGTGGCAGAGAAGCAGTAGGCAGTGTGCGGAGTGGTCGGCTGGGGTGATGGATGCTGAGCAGGGCCGCCCCCAAGGCCCGGCATTGCTAAGGCCAGATGCCTCTGTCCGCAGGTGACCAACGAGATCACACCAGTGCTGTCCTACTCTTACCTGGTGGTGCTGGTGCCCATCTTCCTGCTCACTGACTACCTACGCTACAAGCCAGTGCTGCTGCTACAGGGCCTGAGCTACGTGTGCGTGTGGCTGCTGCTGCTCTTCGGCAGCTCGGTGCCATATATGCAGCTCATGGAGGCCTTCTACAGCGTCACCATGGCCGCCCGCATCGCCTACTCTTCCTACATCTTCTCACTGGTGCGCCCTTCCCGCTATCAGCGCATGGCCAGCTACTCCCGGGCCGCGGTGCTGCTGGGTGTCTTCACCAGCTCGGTGCTGGGCCAGCTGCTGGTCACAGTGGGTCGCGTATCCTTCACTGTGCTCAACTACGTCTCCCTGGGCTTCCTCATCTTCAGCCTGGGCCTTGCCCTCCTCCTGAAGCGCCCCAAGCGCAGCCTCTTCTTCAACCGCAGTGCGCCTGTGCAGGGGGCTTCGCCCTGTGAGCTGGACCAGATGCGCCCAGGTGCGGGCCGGCCGGACCCGCGCGGGAAAGCTGGGGCGCGTGCTGCGCACCTGCAGGGACTCCTTCCTGGTGCGCGTGCTGTATGAGCTGGGGACCAGCTTGCGGCTGCCGCAGCTGCGCCTCTGGTCCCTCTGGTGGATCTTCAACTCGGCTGGCTACTACCTGGTCGTCTACTATGTGCACATCCTGTGGAACGTGGTGTACTCCACCACCAACAGTGCCCGTGTCTACAATGGTGCAGCCGACGCCGCCTCCACGCTGCTGGGTATGGTGCAGCCCCGCGCCTATGCCCACACCGACCCTCCCTGGCCCTGGCCCCGGCCCCACCCCAGCCCCCTGACACACCCTGTTCCCAGGCGCCATCATGTCTTTCGCCGCGGGCTTCCTGAAGATCCGCTGGGCCCTGTGGTCGAAGTTGGTCATCGCGGCTGTGACCGCCACACAGGCTGGGCTGGTCTTCCTCCTGTACAACTCCGAAACATTTGTACAAC